ACCGCACTGATAATGAAGTCCTACTCCCATATTAGTTTTCAAATGTCCACTGAACATAGACTCAGAACACAGAACTAGACTGCTGCCCTGATCCCTCCTCTGGGTCCCCTAGAGTTCTAAAAATTCAAAAGATTACTCGAAGCACATTAAGAAGCATTTAGGACCCTGTTCCAATGTGTGTTCTGAATCACTGGTGCCCATTCGTTACTAATGATTAAATATTTAGAGTATTTTCCTTGATTAAATGAAGTAAATATTAAGTGCTGAGCTAAGCAGATAGTAAGTGCTCCAATTAGCTATAATGATGTCTCCATATGATTTCACATAAAGCTGACTTAACAGCTCTTGAATATTTTGATCACTCCTTAGATCAATGGATTTAAGCAATGAAATTACATTTTATAGAAAAACAAACAAGCTAAAATTGAGTACGAATAATGTCCTAATTGTAGCAGGAACAAAAATGTTTTAAATGTTGATTACAGTTTCATTTGCATTTTAAATTAATCCAGAAAGAGAATAGTAATAAACTATTGCCATCCTTATGTGATTACTAGAAAATAAAAAATTGTCTTTTTCTGTATTCCTGCTTCACCCAGGCTCTTCTCATCACCTTTAGGAGACATAGGGTTTGTTATTCTATGCATACAGCCTGCTTATGAAATCACCTGAAGAAAGTGACTGATGGATGGATGGACAAAAAATATTAAAATAAGACATCAGTGTAAAAAATAAGACATCAGTGTAAAAAAATAACAGTACAAAACACAACCAAGCAAAAACAGACACTTATAAATAAGAGCCATCCTGCAGGGGAGGAGGTGGGAGAGGGATCGGAGGGAGGGAGGGAGGCGCACAGGGGACTGAGGTGATGGTGCACAGGTGCACTGATGAAGGAAACTCTATGGGGACTATACCTGAGGGGGTGGGGGGAAGCAAACATTGTTTAAAAATGAACAATGATGTAAAAAAAAATTTAATTAATTAAAAAATATTAGCTGTCAAAAATTAATTATGGTTAAATCCTTTTGCAAACAATGTATAATCAATATGCTATAAAAATGAGTGCCAGGCTGAAATCTTGTTTTTAAAAAAAGACCTTTATTCTTAAGTTCTCAAGAATATTCTAGAAAGAACATTAACTCCTCTCCTGCCTTTATAAAGACCACAGGTCTTAAAATTTACCCATCTATTGCTAGACCTCACCATAAATTTTTCAGCACTTCACTCCCCTGCTGTTTCAAGGAGATAATCATCACATATGTATGTATGTATATACATACTTGTATACATAAAAAGACATGTTAAATACTCAAACATTCATGCTCCTTACAGGTTTTCAAAGTTCAAGTCATGAGGTGAGAATAAATTTTCACTATGTCACTCTTTTCACTGTTCCACAATTTTACGAGATGAATCATGAAACCATAGCACCCCAAAATAAACTTCTAATTGTCTTCATATAAGAAAGCTGGTCAGGAACTTCTACTTTACAAAAATCAAACTCTTCTATAAATAATTTTACCACTGAGTGGCAGCAACATTAGTAGGTGTTATTTTAAGTGAAATGGCAATACCCTTAGGAAAAAAAAATTGTTCATCAAGGCAGAATTCTATAGGGGGTGCTGTAGCCTAACTGGTTTTGCTCAGTATGAGTGCTAAAGCAAGCTTCTTAACAATACAGAAGGAGCCAGAGCTCTGCAGTCCAATAAAATTAAAAATTCAGTTCCTTGGTCACATTAGGCATATTTCATTTCAAGTATTTAAGAGTCACATGTCACTAAACTTGGGCTTTATACACAGAGTCTATAGTATAGAAAGACAAATGATGCTGACAGTATAAACTGCTAGAGAACCACAATTCTGGACTAGGTGGATTCTTCTGACTTTTAAATGTTGGCAACCAATTAAAAATTTAAAGCATAATAATAAAAACACTGTGTAGTAACCAGAGGAGATAGAAAAGACATGGCAATTGAGATGACTTCTAGATAAAGCTTGGATTTCTATCAGCACCAGTGCCCCCTTCTTGTGAACGGGGTGAGGTGCATGTGGGAACTCTGCCTTATTTCCAAATTTCCTGTAAATCAGAAATCACTCCAAAATAAAAAGCTTAGTTAAAAAACAACAACAAAAGGGCCTCCCCGGTGGCGCAGCGGTTGAGCGCTGGGCTGCAAAGCTGCCTGCAGCCTCTACAGCGGCGGTTCGATACCCGGCCACCGGTGAGGGTCCCACATGGCGCACAGACCTCTCCTGCCACCCCCTGCTCCCCTCAGCAGTGTACTCTGTCAGTCTGCCTGCTCCACTCTCCCCTCTGGCTCTGGTGAATTCTTTCACCCTCCTGCGCTTCTGACTGTACCCAGTGCTTGTATAAATAAATAAATAAATCTTTAACAACAACAACAAAAAAAACACATAGCAACAAACTCATCCCCATAAGCCTCTAGTTTTTCATCTCTAATCACTGTAAGCCCAAACAAAAACACCATATAAATATCATACACGGTATGAAAATAAACATATTTTCATGAGTCAGAATAAGTGTGACTAATTATGAAGAAAGCTGCCATCAAAAGAAGAGGAAAGTAAAATAGCTGGCAAAATGACATATACATCTTGAAGTGACTTACATATACTCAGCCTACCAGTCTCAGAATTGTGGAAAATCTAAAAACAAGAAGATTTTAATATGTTCATATTTTACATATGGACATAAGAGGATGATTTACATTTTATAAGGATGTAAACAGCTTCATTCCTAAATTTACACCTCACTTCCATCTCCTACCTCATTACCTTCTCTATTCCTTCTCTTCCCTGTCTGGTACTGCTGCTATTGGTGACACTACTAACAAAGAAATGCTCCTGAAAAGCATAACTTATGATCATGCCCTCTATGTGCAAACACCCTTGCAGGTTCTCCACTCTAAAAACAAACAGTACTCAGATATCTTGTTAAAGAAACAAATATCCAGGGGCCAATCACAAATCAAAGAGAATATAATCAAGTGCCCCAAATTTAAGATACATCGTAACATCCTAAAAATGTCAGAATGGGAGAATTAATAGTTGAAACAATCTACTAGATGAATTTGGAGAGATTTAGAAACACTGAAAGGCATTACTTACAAGAAGAAACAGAAATAGGAAAGAGGAATGAACATTAAAGAGGTTAAGAAAGCTCTGAAAAGTATAAAAAGAGTGATGGGTGGGTGAGATCATGGGAGGTCAGATTAAGAGGGACTTGAAAGCCAACCTGAGGAATTTGGTCTTGAAGCAGAGCAATAAGGGACAACCGTAAATTCCAACAGAGGAGTAGAGCAAAGAAAGAGTTTCAAGAACATTAATTTGGTCGTGGTCCTTTTAAATTAATTTTGCAATGTTCCTTCCTACATCATTCCACATTCCTATGACTTTCTTACACATCAACGTTCAAAGCCACAATATTACCTTCAATTACTCTTATTTCACAGAAGCTTCATTCCTAAATTTACACCTCACTTCCATCTCCTACTTCATTACCTTCTCCATTCCTTCTCTTCCCTGTCTGGTACTGCTGCTATTGGTGACACTACTAACAAAGTAATGCTCCTAAAGCATAACTTACGATCATGCCCTCTATGTGCAAACACCTTTGCAGGTTCTCCACTCCAAAAACAAGCATAAAGTACTCTGCTTCCTGATCTCCAGAGCTATAGTCTATCACTTCCCCCAATGCCTCTGTACTCATTCTCTGAATATTCCCTCTTCTTATCCATCTCTTTTGTCTATAGTGCCTCACTTCTTTTAACTCCACCTTTCAAATCCCTGAGCATCCTTTTCACCCAATACTTGCTATGTACAGCGATGGATAGTTTCAAAACAAAACACCTCATGTCACACCTCTGCTTTGGACCTTCATTGGCTCCTGCCTATAAAATTAAAGCCCAAGTTGGCGGGTACACACACAAAGCAATGAGGTCCTTTTCTCTCTCTTCAGAAAAACCCTTCAAGCCTGCCCACTTACCACTGTGTATTTAATGTGCTAGGAATACCACCACTATATATAACATCACATTAATTCTTGTTTCTGTGTCTTTAATCATTCCTCTGCCATTTCATTCTTTCCTTGACTGGCTTTCATCTTTTAGAGGTTGTTCTTAAACCCCTGTGTTGGGCTAATTAGCACTCCTCTGTACTCCAGGACAACGTGGGCATTTTTACTGTCATCAAGTTCCATTATACATTGTGTTTGGGTCCTTCTATTGTCACTCTTTCTTTGGTAAAATAGAAGCTACAACTGTTCTTGTTCACACACACAACTGCACCTAATCAATGTTACCTTAAGTAAAAATTCAAACTTTCAGGCCTAATAAGTTCCGCATCTGAAAGTCCTATACCTTTCAATACCAGATAATCAACTAGGAGGATGAAGAACTCCCGATTTGGGATCTAAAAGAAATTAGGTGCCTGCTTCCTTACCGCCCTGAAGTGTTTAGCTTGGTATGTGCTAGGGACTGTTCAACTGGCACAATGACCATAAGGTTAGCAAACAACTGCTTTTAGTGATAATACAGAGTGGATATCACAGTCTGTCTACAGAAGGAGTGAGAGGACAACAGTGTAGAGGGTGTAAGGAATAAAGCAAGAAAGAGGGTGAGTGTCCCAGAGGCAGCCTCAGAAAAGACGCCTTTTAGATGGAAGATGAAAAAAAGACAGATGAGCTCAAAGACTTAAAACAAGGGAGGATGTTAGCAACAAACAAGGGCGTATGTATGTCAGGAAGTAGTGTTTATCACAGGAGACAGCTGATGCAGTATATTTTAAAAGTGGTAACATATACCACAATAAACCATAAACCCCAAAGGATGACTCCAATGTGATGTCATTGAAGAACTCTGTCCCCAACCCTTTGTTCCTTTCATGCTCTTCTCTCTCCCATCCTGGAGATGAATAAAAATGCACATCAACAACCTTGCTTTAATGAAAAGGAGAATAAAAAATAGTTTTAAACAACGTACCTTTGATTTTTTGTTCAGTGGCCTAAAATAAAAACAAACAAACAAAAAACAATGTAAATATGAAACTGAAAGAAATGGATTGTCATGACAAAATGTTCATATATTGCTATTAAGACATATATACTTTTATTACAGAAGGAATTTGTCATTTAGATGAACTGCATAGGAAAAGATATGCAAAGAAAGCATTCTTTTCCCACAGATGTGCCTCACTGTCCCTGATACAATGTTTGCTTCTTTAGACACAAAGAGATGTTGTTTTATGAAAGTAAGTAACAGACATTTTATTATTTTTTTTATTTTTTCTGCATTTTTCTCATTTAGTTTTAAAATTATTTTAATGTAACTATTACCTTTATACTTAGTGGATTTAATAATGTACTGTGCATATGTTTAAATTGCTTCAAAAATTACTTCAAATTATAAAAGAGGAATTGAGTTGGGGGGGGGAATTGCATGCTAACCACTTTGGCCTAATTAGTCAAATTTAACTAATTGACTCCTAGAGGGCCTAATTTGACTCCTAGAGGGTAAACATAGTAAACTTTCAAGAATTTTTGAGTAGGAAACACTTTAAAACTAATTTTCATTTTTGACACATCTTATAGTGCATTAAAATTCTTATGCTCAGAAGTTAAACTGGCATGAGCCCCGGCTTTCCCATGCCCTCCAGACTGCTACTGCTACTGTCTCTGATACAACTCAGATTAAAAAACTCAAACTTTTTCAAAAACAAAGAACTGATTAGAGATAGAGGCCATAAGCAAAGTTTTTTGATTAAGGCCAATGGTATTGGAATCCTAAAGATAAAAGGATAGGAGGGGCTTGAGGGAAGATTTGGTCATCCTAAAAATAAAAGATAAAAAGAATGGGAGGGGCTGGAGGGAAGAACCAATAATTAGTAACCCAATGACCAGGAATAATTTCTAAATAAAGATAAACCTTTTTTAAACTGCCATGGGGCATGATAAATCATTTTGCTTAGTCATACAATTATTGCTATCCAAAATACCATTTTCTGAATTCTATCACTATAGAACCATAAAGTAAACTATATGTCAATCACCCTAATATTGAAGCCACACCAAACATTAATCTTTCCTGGAAAGCCAGTCAGTCTAAGAAAAGGAGTGCTTTACTAAGCTCAGAGCACTAGCAAGATGTAAAGTAATGGAGGTGCATCTTTTATTTTACATGAATCAAAAAAAATTTTTAACTGATGGAAAGACAATGGCAAAAGACCCATCACCTAGTTTGAACACTTTACTTCTGGGAGAAATCATTTTTAAAATCTAATGGCAGAAGTCTTATTAAAGAGAAGTCAGTAATATGAACACCTTTGAAGAGCAATATAAGTGTCGTGTCAAACAGTAAGATACCTAATTTTCTGAAATAAACAATTAGCACAAAACTGTACATGTTGAATCTTTTTCTTTAAAATTCTCCTGCTCTTCCCACAGTTTATTTCCAAAGGAAACTAAATCACCATACATAGAAACCATAACCAAATTACTAAACCTAAGGTATAAAATGTTTCTCTTCTAGACCTTGCAACAAAAAGGATCTCTACTACACAACTCCTTTGAAAAACAATTCGGTGTTGATTCAGAACAATATTCTGTCACCTACAGAGAATGGCACCAAGGAAACACCCAGAGGTGTGTGTCCATTAGAATGCTGACTATTGCCGTGAAGGAATGTAAGTAATAGAACCCAAGAGCTCCTGATTAGGAGGAGATGGAAATGATAATTTCATTTCTTTAAAATAGGTTTCAGTGGGTTGGTCCGGGGACTTAGTATATTACTCAAATTATTAAAAAGAGAATTTTCCAAGTGGGGTCAGTGAATAGTATTTGTCTGCACTGTTCAAACTGGCAGTCCCTATCCATCCACGTAGCTACTGACCACTAAAACAGTCGAAACTGCTATGTGTAAAATACATACCAGATTTCTATTACTTGGCATTAAAAAAAAGTAAAGTTTCTTAATATTTCATAGTCATTACATGTTAAAATGCTGATGTTCTGGACAGTTACATAAATATTTATCAAAATTAACTTCAAATGTTCCTATTTTTAAATGACCTTGTCACTTAAACCCTCTGGTTCTCAGCTTTCTAATCCCTCAAATGGAGTAAAAACAAAAATTGTATCGCTTGCTTTTCAGGGTTATTATGAGTTCAAGTAAAATATAAAAAGACCTTTTCTAGAAAACTATACAACACTATTCAAATGTGAGGTATCATTGTGAATTCTCCTGTACACGAGAATTAAATCATTCTGGCAAATCTAGAATCAAAATTATTTCCATTTGGATATATAAATATATATATATATATATATATCTCCTTAAACAAACCAACCAACCTGAGCAGTGATTTCACAAGCAATTACACAACTGTTTCAACTAGAAGGTAATGAAGGCATCAGACACATGGCAAATACATAGCATGATGGGTATGCTTTGTTTCTGTCAGGCTCTGCACCACTTCTCCCAATTCCTAGATCCCTACAAACACTCAATGGGTAAGAGATGAGCCTGAAGCCAGACTGCCTAGCTTTGAATTCTGGCTCTACCACTTATGCTGTGAGACCCTGGTTAAACAACTTCTGTAAAAGCTCAGGTTCCTCATTTACAAGACAGGAACAAAAACACCTACCTTGAAGTGATTGTGAGGTTGTAAGGAATTAACTCACATAAAGAGCTTAGTACAGTGCCTAGCGTATAAAAAGCACAACAGATGTTAGCTGCGGCTGCTACTATCATTAGTCCCACCTGCCCATGCTTCAGTTCAGTCCCTTATCTCACATTTGGAAATGACCTGACTCAAACTTACTTCCAATTGCCAAGTCTTGCTTTTTTCTTTTTTCTAATCATCCATAATGTCTTAACAGTACCAGATATTAGGAACTAACACTAGGAGTAAGAAATTAATGTAGCTCAATTCACTAATTTTAGATGTGATTATCAATGGTTTGAGAGCTTCCCTATGATTATTAAAAGCAGTACACAATCTAGAACCCAGGTCTGCTACATAAAATGGGTACGCACGCAAAAGAAAGTATAGGCTGTACAAGGAGCAAGGCAGTAAGAGAACACTTAATTGCCCTAGATAAGCACAGTGCTCCAGCCTGATTATATTACTACTTAGGTTACTGAGAAACTATACTACTTACAATGTGGAATATTACACCTAATCTCACAAAAAAAAGATATTTGGGAAACACAACAGTGAATACTGAAATTTCCAAGAGAGGAAATGAAGTTAGAAGTTTTCTACAACCTAAGTCTCATTTAAGCTTGAATTGAGTACATTTAAATTCACAGTCTCTATATAAAAATCCTTTCATTTCTTAACACAGTTAACAAAAATACCCATAACCACTGACTTTAAAATATTCTGAACTTAAAAGATCCCGATTTGTATTGGTGGTTCCCTCCAGCCATTGTGCTTTCTAGGAACTACAATTACATGCTTAAAGCAAAGGTTGCACTAAATTATCCCTGTATAATGAACCTATTTCCCAACCTCCTTTATCCTCTTCACTACATTGCCCTCAACATTATTTCTAGAAATTTCTTCTAAAATCAACCTGGAGATAAATCCATGGTAATAACCTCCTGCTATCATTGCCCCCCCCTTTTTTTTAGTATAGAAACTACATCCCCATGTTAATAGGAAATTGTTTCTATGCCTGAAATTCTTAGATGTGAAATAGGCTTTTCAAGAAAAAAAAAACAAAAACAACTAAAAACAATGCTATCTAATCACAATTCTATTATTAATTACCAACACAGTGGGGCTGAAATATAATAAAAATCATGTAAATTTTGTATAAAATTTCTTTAATTTAAATATTTACATTTGTCTTTAAAGAGTAGACAAAATATGAAAAGCTATCACAATAAAAATTTTGTACTGAGTGTCTTGTTGTCTAATTGTTCATGTAAGAAATTGTGTTATCTGGTTTTTCATTTAAAACAGAGAATAACCTGTGGTTTGGATTTAAATTTCTTTGAAAGACCACAGTAGCTAATAGGTTTTCAGATCTATGTTTTCTGTGCTAATGGCATAAAGACCTACTAAATGCTTTATAAAAATTACCATAGAATATTATTTTCAGCTTTTAAAAAAAAGATTTTTTATTTTATTTTAGCATAGAAGACCTGGGGTATAGGCCAGAGCGGGGGAGGGTGGGGGAGGAATGAGAGGACTCACCAGAGACAGAGTGGGGAGCAGAACAGGCAGATCTACTGAAATATACTGCTGAGGGGAGCAGCGGGTGAGACAGGAGAGATGTGCTGTGCCGTATGTGGGTCAGCAACCTGGCCAGGGAATGAACTTGGGCTGCAGTGGTGGTAGCAAGGAGACTTAATCTCTAGGCCAGCAGCGAGGCCCTTTTTCCAGTTTTAAAGTTCACCTTTACATTGTAAAAAATATAATGTTCTATATCAAAAGGATAAAGCCATGGCACCAAGTTTTAGAAGAGCATCAGCAGAGGGAGTTAGAGGGTTTCAATACCTTTCCTAGTTCTGTCACTCTTATGAAACCATGGTTAGTCACATAACTCATTTTTAAGCTTGGGTTCCTTATATATAAAATGCATGGATTAAGACAGATAAAAACTACAGCCTTTTCAGGAATAATAACACACAGCCCTCTTTTTTTTTTTTTTTTGTGGGACCCTCGCCGGCGGCCGGGGAACGAACCGGCGCTGCAGAGGCTGCGGGCAGCCTCACAGCCCAGCGCTCAACCACTGTGCAACCAGGGGAGGACCAGGCCTCTTTTAAAATATATAGAGATAACATAAAACAGGGAGGTTATTTTTTTACAGTGAGTTTGTGTTTTAACATTTATATTAATGTACCTTCCTACCTGGTTTATATATTGTCTGTCGTCTAACTAGATACATGTGTTTACCGGCTCCCACAAAAGAAAAGTTCAAGGAAATCACCTTGAAATCCTGTCATTATCTTTTATGTGGGCTATAAATGTGCCAATTTAGGAGTTTTGTTTTGTTTTATTAAAGAGCTATTTGGAAACAGCCTATAGAAATATCGAATGTGCTTTCACTTCACCAATGGACTTCAATTCAGTTACAAGCTGATTACTTGGAACTACAGCAGTGGTCAAGCCTACTAAACTTAACATTGGCGGTACTAAACTTTCCTTTATATTGTGCTCAGTGACTAGATATTACTACGAGTGCTGAAGACCTTGCAAAAGCAAAAATTCCCAGTATCTCTAAGCCTCTGATGATGGTTCTAGTAGGCCATGCTTGGGATGACAGAGACTGGAGCCAGGGATTGAGGGAGGGATGGAACGGGCAAGAGTATGAAAAGCTGTCACTTCAGATTTGAGAATCACACGGAACAAAATTCATCATCACTAACTTGGTGACTGAGATGTGATTACAGAAAATGTAAAGATGAACTTTAACAACTACAATTGTTCTTTACAATGATACAAGAATTCTACTCACATCATATACCGTTAAAACAGTATTTAAAAAATAATCCTCCAGTGACTCTTCCCCTTTCTTAATAAAAAGAGTAAATTCCAAATAAACTTGTTTCATTATATACTGCCGAAGGCCTCTTCTCTAACCATTTCACATACATCCTAGACTTACCAGCAGAATCATGAACTTCTTAGAAGCAAGGATCCTCAGGTACTAAACACATCACTCAGTACCTTGTCAAATTACTTATTCTATATAAAGTATACCCACTTTCCTCAACAAATCTCTTAAGTTTCCTAGATATTCACACCATGAGTTTCATCACACCATGAAACAAGGGTCTGATAAGCCTTACCCCAACCTTAAACTTGAAGATACACTTTTTTCCATAGCAAATCCTGAGCAAAGAGACTGTTCAGACTGCAAAGAACATCTGTATCATCAGTAAGTCTCTGACAGAGGCCTAAGGCATCATCAATGCCCAAACTCTATATTACAAATCTATTTCAAACACTAAACCAATGACCAATGCATCTCTTCCCACTAACTCCTAAGAGCAACCAAAAGCTTGATGAGCAGGGTCACCTGCCATTTCATATCATCACTCTTAATCTGCCACAGTGCTCGGTATTCTACTCCCTCCCCAGTATTTGCTGATCATACTCTAAATTCATTAAGTCCAGAAATGAGTTATATGTCTTTCCCTTTCTTTGTATTCCCTAATCTAGTTAACTGCTCAAAAGATGTGTAATAATTCCCTCTTTCCCACAGGGGATATAATCCATGCCAAGTGGATGCCTGAAACTGTGGTTACTACTAACCCAATGTATCCGATGTTTTTCCTTATACATGTACACCTATGATAAAGTTTATGAATTAGGCACATAAATTAATAGTAACTAATAATTAAACACGAACAGTTATAACAATCCATTGCAATAAAACTTAAGTGAAAGTAGTCTGTTTCTCTCTCACTCTCAAAATATCTTATTGCTTGTAGTATTTTTGGACCAGAGTTGACCCCGGGTAACTGAAACTACAAAAAGCAAAAACCTTGTATGCGGGGGACTGCTGTACATACTCAATCTAGAACCTAAGAGGAAGATTACTTCTCCCTTCATATCTTTTATATATATTCTGTGGTTTCTTTTTCATAGTTCCTTTACTAATGTCTCAGTCCCTTAGTTTCTATCCCTTCCAATCCAATTCCACAATTTGCCAAGGTAGACATTCTAAAATACAAACTTTTATGTCACTTCACTAAGATATCTTCCGTATTTTCCCCTATGCCCAATGGCCAAAAGCTTGAGAAGCGCCAGCAGCTACCACCAACCATTCAAGTTTCATTCCCTGGCTTCCTCAAAACCCACCAAAACCCATACTGAACACACAATGGCCAGGACATTTAACCCTTACTTTACTCTGTTTATCATTCTTTTCTGTTCTGCTCCTTATTCACTTAGCTAACTTCTATTCCAAGAAAATTTCCCCCCCCCTCTGTCCCATCTCAGGCTGAGTTAAACACTCCTCTCCATGCTTCAACAGTTTCCCACCTATCATGGTTTGTGTCCAGTGTTTTCTCCAGCAAATAAAGTAGAGGTAAGTATGTTGTTATAATTTTTATCCAATTGCTAGCACAGTGACTGGCACAAAAGAGGTGTATTTTATAAACTAAAATTATAATTTTTCATTAGAATATAGAAATGGAACAATAATTCCACTGGGTCTTTTAGAATATTTTTTAAAGTCCTTGAAACCTGATAAAATAGTTGATAGAGGAGTTGAGTGTCAGCTTAGTTAACTGTCATCAGCCTTTAATATTATTTTGTAAAAATCTTTATAATTATGTACATAGTCTTTTATCTTTGCAACAATTTGTGCTGCTTTGGTTAATTTCTGAAAATGTAATGGATAGAGTTCTTTTGCAAGTTATGTCTTAGGCATACTGTGAAATCTTTTTTTTAAAAGATTTATTAATGCATACAAGAACTAGGGTATAAGCCAGAGGTCCCGGTGGTGAGAGGATTCACAAGAGAGAGCAGAACAGGCAGATCTACTGAAATACACTGCTGAGGGGAGCAATGGACATGGCAGGAGAGGTCTGCTGGCCCATGTGGGAAGCTCTCTGGTTGGCTGGGGATCGAACTTGTGCTGCAGTGGTTGGCGAAAGTTTGATAGCGCTATCTTTAACCCCAGCGCTACCAGGGAGGCCCCATATTTTAAAATATCTTAATGTAAACTTCAAAATTTAAAAAAAAATCAGCCCAGCTACCAAATAAAAGGGGAAAAGGAAATTGACACTTTATTTGCTATTATGTGTATTACTATTCCTTTATTACTATGTTTTCCTGTATTACTTTATTTCCTAGCATGTGTATTTTTGCGTGTTACATTCTCTCATTGTATTCACTTCTCATTTTATAAAACATAAGAAACTAAGGCCCAGAGAAGTTAAAGGCCATATCATTCTGTATACTATGTGGGAGAGCCAGATTTCAAACCCTCTATGTGACCACAAATTCCATGCTCTTCTCACTTATAAATAACATATTATAAAACCTAGGAACAGCTAATTGAAAATAAAGACCTAGATAAAGCACTTACCTTTGGAATAAAAAAAACCTACTGGCAAGATTAAATATTCATTAAATTTTACACACTTGGCAAGTTACTCATATGCATACTCAAACACATTAAATATTAAATGACTTTACTGAAGTTAAAACATTGCAACCAATACTTTAAAAAAATCTAGTAAGAGTAATTTTCTTTTTAAATCTTTGTTTAAACTGCTTAATATAAATAATTAGTTTATACATAGAATACCTTCTTTTGAGCAGCTTCCTTCTTTTTCTTGTCGTCTTTTTTCTTTTTCTTTTCTTCCATCAACTGTTCTTCTTCTTGCACTAAATCCCTGAACCACACAGTTGCAATTAACTTTCCCAAAATGTATTAAGAAATAAAAATAATGTTGCATACAGATTTATTTTCACTTTTATTAGAAGACATGGCAAATTACTTTATCATTCATTGAAATATAACACAACTTGCAACCTAAATCTAACTAAATAGCCGCTATATAGTATTTTCTTTCGTAAGTCACAAATATTAGGAGTTTTTAATCTCAATATCATATTAAGGAAGACAACCTAAAATAAGAAAATTTTACATTTGGGAAGAACCGCTCTCCAATTCTAGTATGTTAACAACATGGAATGAGCCAGAGTTACCCTGCTTCTGGCCCCAATTATCAATTAGACACTGAAGGCAACGCCTGAGGGGGAATCTCTCCACAATGTTCTCTTGCCCAGATACCTGGGGTATCTGTGAATTTCCTTGCTCTAAAAGGCTTTGTTAACTATTTTCAAAATAAATTACTCACAAATATGTGACTTATATCTCAACATTATAATTATTTTATATTCTATAAACATTCCAAATAATTCTAACAAGACGTGGAAAGCAGCCAATAATACACTTATTATATAAGTTTGTTTCAATTCGCAAGAATCACAAACACTGGAAGTTGTCAATGGGACCTCTGGGTAAAGATTTCAAGATGACATTCTGGGCAAATATGTTTGCCTTCTCCCTTCTACTCTATCTCACTGAAATGATAGAAGAAATGAGAAAAAGTCTATTCAGAGCTGATGGAGAACAAAGGAAGCTATAACACAAGAATAGACACAAGGAAAGTCTTAATGTAAGTGCTATCCTCTAGGGAAGCTCTAGATAGGCCCCAAAATCATAGTTAGGAAAGCAAAATTAGGCATGGAGCAAAAGGCCACAACTACTTTAACACTTTTCATCTCTACCCACAGATGGTCACAGGTAGCAGCTGCATTTAAATCCAGCCTAAAACCAAAGAAACACTGTAAATAAACTAAACATTTGACAAAATACAGGTGTAGTGCTTCATATCAAAACCTTTCTTACTGGAAACTACTGCTACGCCCCTGCATCACACCCTCAGGTAAAACCTAGCAATACCTTTCACACACTTAAAAAACTCAGCATCAGCCCTGCCATTCAAGGAAAGAGGTTACTGGATAATGAGAATTAGGCAAAGTGGAGGAAATGCATTCCAGTCACCTACACTAATTACCCTAGAATCTAGAACATAAGCCTTCATTCATTCATAAACAGACAACCAAAGTTCATCAGATAGAGAAGAAAATCAATACACAAAGAAAAAGTTCCTAAATCTGCCATGAGGTAACTTTCCAGAGGTGACATTATAAATTTTAGCAAACAAGGGAGGTTCAAGGGACATGCGTTAGACATTTGAAGACTAAAAATCATTTCTCAAGACTGTAATGCATTCAGAGTGGGGGCATGAGAAAGACAGTCAAATACAAAAGAAAATGGAGGGCCTCCCCGGTGGCGCAGCGGTTGAGCGCTGGGTTGCGAAGCTGCCGGCGACCTCTGCGGCGCAGCGGTTCGATCCCCAGCTGCTCCCCGGCCACCAGAGGAGGGTCCCACATGGCGCGCAGACCTCTCCTGCCGCCCGCTGCTCCCCTCAGCAGTGTACTTCGGTCCTTCTGCCTGCTCTGCTCCCTGCTCTGGCTCTGGTGAATTCTCTCGCCCTCCCGCGCTTCTGACTGTACCCAGTGCATGTATAAACAAAACAAACAAACAAACAAATAAATAAATAAAAACATGCCTCTATAAAAAAAAAAAAAAAAAAAAAAAAAGTATCAGGCTTTTAAAAAAAAAAAAAAAAAGAAAATGGAAGGGGTGCTGTAAGTGCGCTACAATGACATTACACAAAACTTAAGTTGGTTTTCCCGATGAAAGAGACATGGAGATGCAGATAGACAGTGAAAAACAAAATGAGTGACCTTATATATAAAACTGATAATAACTCAGTAAAGTATATGACTGCTAAAACCAGAAGTTAGAAAAGTATGAGTTGCTGAGAACTGTCATGTGGCTAACAGAGTAGCTAAACAACATTCATGCCAACTGCAACCATGACTCACTCTCTCACATTGTCTGTAAGGGAGGTGTGGAGAGTAAGCAAGCTCATTCACACTAATTTCCTGGAAAAGTCGAGGATCAAGGCAGCCACAGCATATGAAAGGAAGAGTAAAATTAGTAAACAAAGTCAGTGAAGTTAAACAAGTTACCCATCAAAAGCTGGTTCCTAGCTCTAAATATTTAACTGACTTCAGCCAAAGTTTCTTCATTAAAATTGAGGATAAACTGCCATTTACATCTACTCCATAATATGTTTATAGGATTAAATGAAAAGTGCTTACTTAACACTGGCCTCTAGTAAGCTCTCAAGTGCCTAGTCACAAGCCCTCTCACCAATTCTGAGTGGCACCCAAAGACTCTATTACTTCTGTCAAGATATAATGGACACTGATTATGCAGAAGCATCAGTAATCTTCAGCATTTGTTCTTCGTGTGCTCCTGTGAATTAGACATATCCTTTTCTAATTCAGTTCTAAGTCACTGTAATTTTGTACTCTATGGGATGTTTCCTTATTATTTACCTGGAATTTTTTTATCCTTTCTCAAATCCCCTTTTGAAGACACACTGAGTAGATTAGCAAACGTTTTCTTGGTCCAAAATGGTCTCTTTAGTATTTAAAAGATACACAACATTCCTCTTGAGGAAATATTACAGATCAGCTGATACTGTAAGCACAGGGCAATGTTTTCTTCAATACTGTCATCACAGGCACTAACCACACTTTTCTCACATCTCTGGTCTTTGGAAAGTCAACCAGAGAAAGGTAAACAAACTGCTTGTGCACAAACACTTCACCCTCCAGGATTTAAATGCTAATAAAGGTTCATTTAACACGGCTGACTCTATCATTTACCATAGCTATCAAAAGGAATAAGGGTTGATGGAGCTTGTTAAGTCTAAATGTATCAACAGAAAGATAATGGTCAGCGATCATTTGTCCCTTGAATGTTAGTATTAGGACACTCAAACATGCAATTGGACTGAGGAAAGAGAACCTTTGTTTGATTAAAATGTTTACAATGACAATCCTGGGCATTTTATGTACAGGTTCCCACCTGATTATCACTTTAAAAAAAAAAGATAGGTAACGATATTTCTCTTTTATAAATGAAGAAACTAAAGCTCAGAAAAGTGAAATGATTTTTCCAGGGCCTTACCGCTAGTAGAGGGTACAGTCAGTATTCAAATCTAGAGTCTTAAAGTCATAAGTCTTTCCTTTCCCCTGCACTATGGTACCCTCAAAATAAAGTACTAGTTCTTTTTTCAGGAGTCACAGAAAATAAATTCTTTTTGTTTAGATAAGTTATAAAATAGATCCTACTTGTAGTATATTTTTACCCCAGACTGTGTAATTCCATAACCCTTTTATTTCTTTCCACCTTTTATAAGGACCTTTAAGCAGAATGAACTGCAGGAAACACAAAGAATTAGGTGTTCCAAGACCACGAGGATGTAATTAGGAGCAAAGAACAGCAAAGACAAAGACTGAACCACACTGCATTTTAGCAATAGGGGATCAGGCATTGGTGATCTTTAAGAGAGCAATTTCAGTATTTTGTAAATGTGGGAGCAGAATGTGGAATATACAACTAGACCACAACTACAGCTACAATAAGATACCATACTTGAGGAGTTCTACAGTTCAAAAGGGGAGGAGGGGGAAAAGCTGGAGAGCTATCAGAAATGAGCAAAAATTTCTAATCTTAAAAAAAAAAAAAAAAAGACAGGTACATGACAGAGTACATAATATGCTATCATTTGTGCAAAAGATAAGAGAGGATATGTATTCCTACTAGTCAGCATGTATATAAAATGAAAGCACACCTAAATTAATGGTGCCTGTTGGAGAAGGGGTTGAAGGCTCTTAGGCAGATGGGGGATGAGAGGAAGGGAGATCACACACTGTGTAAACCTTTTTACATATTTAAATTTCTGAACCATGTGAATATTTAAAAAATTAAATATTAAAAATTCTTTCAAGTATTAATATTAAATCAGTACATTTTAACATTTAAAAAGTAAAAGGCTGTTCTCTTTCTAGTTTGCTAGAAGTTCAGTCATGGGTGCATGCTATATTTGTTAGCTGTCTTCTCTGTATTTACTGAAATAATTAGCATGTTTTTTGTCTTTTGATTTGCTGATATAATGAGTCATTTTGATGGATTTTCTAATACTGAACCCAACTTACATTTGCTAGCATAAACCCAACTCCATGTTTTTTTAAAATAAATTGTTGGTTTTTCTTTCTTTAATAAAGGTAAATTAAAACTAGTGCTATACCATGTTTTTTACTAATTTTATTGGCAAAAACGTTCAAGTACAATAATATCCAGTGCTGACAAGAAAGTTAAGAGAGCCTCTTAACTGATGGAAATGACTACTATAACCTTTGAAGTTATTCTTTCTAGCCAACTACAATAATGAAGCACTAGTACGTGAAGCCATATATGCACAGGAAAGTTCACTGCAAGGTTCCCATAGGCTGAAAACCAGAAAAACTAAATGTATATCAATAAACAAATGGCTGTTATATCAGCATATCATACTGTATTGATCTGTTAGTACTGACTTGAAATGTCCCGAACATAACATTAAATGATAAAAGCAAGCTGCAGAAATGTAACCAATGTTATATCACATATTTTTTTTAAAGTTTGCATATTTGAGTATCTTTATACAAATTTAGAGAAAGATATATTCTCCTGGATTACGAATCTCAGAGTAACCTCACAACTCGACCAAGTATTTCAGGAAATTGAGGGTTTTTTTTTTTCCTCTCTCTTAAGTACAATTCTATTTGAAATGTAATGGTAAGCATACATTATTTTTGTAAATTAGTGCAGATTTTTTTAGAGATTCATTTTTACTTATATATGCATACAAGAACTGGGGTGTAGGCCAGAGGTGCAGGGGGTGAGAGGATTCACCAAAGA